AGCAACACAATGATGAAGACAATCCTGCTGGCCAAGACATTGAAAGGCAGTGTGCACCAAGGCTAGAATCAGGCTTGAGATTTGAGATTTTTAAGAAAATTGTATGTAGGCATTCACAGATTTTTCCAATATTTTGATTTCCTAGGACAACACTCAGAAATCCCCCCTGGATTTATTCTCAGAAAGGATGCCCGAGAGCTCTCCTCTCCCCTTGCCGCCACCTGGGAGATTTCGGAGTAAAGTTCTCTGGATGGGAAAAAGGGTTCAGAAGGTGATCCGCACAGGGTGCCGAATTCCAGGGACCCTGATTGGAGCAGACGCCGGCTGTGCGAACTCTGTCTAGACATGGAAATTGTCCTCCTAATCTCCCAATCTTGCTTTTCTTCATTCTCTGACAATGCACCGTCTCTGTAAACATTCTCGCCACAAGAACGGAGCTGGAAACACATGTGCAATCAGCAGCTACAAAGAGGGTTATGAAATCTGCTCAAAATAGCCTGCTTGCCCCATAGGCATGCAAAGCAGCCAAACAGCTAGGGTGAACGTGTCAGGCGGCAGATTTCACTCTGCACTTCAAGAGGCTTCCAGTGACCTCCCACGGTTAGGCTCAGAGGTGCTCACTGCTGCTCAGAGGCTCCCCGGGGAGACCTGGCCTGTGGACAGAGTCCCCTGGGCAGCTGTGAGTCCCTAGGGCTAAACCCTCCTGTCCGAATATCCTACCTACCCTGAAATTCCTCAGCCCTGGAGATATTTATTTGGTTTAAAACTTTGAGGTTACTTAATCCCCAGTGGTTCAGCGGATCAAGAATCCGCCTGCAATGCAGGAGACACAGGAGATGTGGGTTTGATCCCTGGGTTGGGAAAATCCCCTGGAAGAGGAAATGGCAACCCAGTCTAGTATTCTTGCCTGGAAAATTCCATGGACAGAGGAGCCTGGCTGACTATAGTCCACAGGGTTGCAAAGAATCAGAAACAACTGAGCACAATGGCACTGGCGTTGGCAATGTTACCTGAGACAAGAAGATAAAAATCTGACTCCCTCCCTTAGAATCAACTTAATGCATTGGCCATCTAGTCCCCTTCTGTGGGTGAGATGGTATTTTTGTACACTGGGTGAGTGGGAGGAAAGACAATTCAGCTGGGGGCTCAGAGCATCAGGGAAGAGGGGCTGCAGGTATGGGTCCACTGTGTGCTGAGGCTGGGTAAGAGGTGGGCCTTGTGATCTGGGTGGTGCAGTTGTCATCCGTCTGCTTTCCCCTCCAGCACCGACTGCCTGTGTGACCTTTGGCTCCGTCACTTCAGACCTCCTGTTCTAGCCTTCTTTGCCAAAGTGGAAAAGTGCTCTTTCCCCTGGATTTCACTTCAAAAGAGGAAAGGAATCAGATGGCTATCCCTTACCAAGTGTCCTGGGAGTTGGATCCCAAGCTACTCAAAGAATGACCATATGACTGAATGTAACTGCAGAGGCCTTAGGGATAGTTTTGTGGAGATTGCTATTTGTGGCTGAAGAGACAGGGTGCGTCACCCCTGTTCTGGTGGGAATGACCACTGAGCTGGAAGTCAGACAACTGGGCTCTGAGCCAGCTGGCAGGTTGCTTTTGTTTCTGAACCTCTCGTGATTTCCCTCAGTTGAGCAAGACTAAGGCCTGTAGCCCAAGAAAGGACACTGGGCAACCACAGGGGCCAGGCTGGGGTAACAGAATGTACTGGGGGCAGCATGGAGGGCATGACCAAGACACAAGGAGAGCTTTCTCTTCTGTGGGAGCCCCAGATAAACCCTCCTTCCCCTCTCCTGCCTCTCCACACCCATGGCTTGCCTTCCTGGACCAGCTTGGCCTTGGTCCAGACTGGGTTTCTGTTTTGTCAGAATAACTCCAGGTGTCTCCTGGAAGGCGAACACTCCTGGGAGTATCATAAATTTATCTTTGCTTTTGGGTGGGACTTGAGTGCCTTCTGTGGGTACATTATGGCTTGGCTTAGGCCATCCTCTCCCTGAAGTGCTGTGCTTCATGCCGTTTGATGGGACACACACAAGGGTCCATCTACTCTTAAGTGTGGACTGGATCAGCCTGTTCCAGGAGAAGCATTTGAAGCAGTTGACCTTATTCATAGGGTCAGTTGGGAACCCATTGGCCTGTGCCTTATAGCTGAGCCCATATTTGTTTCTGAGGAATCTCTTTGAACTTGATGACCTTCACTCTTTGTGGTCATTTTAGGGCAAAGGGAAAAATAAGGCCTGGTCCTTCAATATTTGAGGTGTATCTTAAAAATCAGAGCTCTCCTCTCTCTTGAGTCCTGCTCTGGGAGCAACGGTTGTTGTCTAGACTGGGGCTCTGGGCTCCTGCCCACCCTGTTCTGCATGCTGAAATCTTAGAATCCTTAGCATCCTGTATACTTTGGGGTCCTGGGATGGGGACACCCTAACCCCTGGCCCTCCATCACACTGGTACTTCAGGAAACCCTGCAAGATGCAGCCTGCCATTATGTCTCCTTCTAGTGGGCTTTGGCAATAAGGAAAAGTGTCTGTGTAGGGATATTGCTGAAATGAGTGTCTGAAACTCACATTTCCAGAAAGCTTGAGGGTTTTTACCTCCTCAGATGCTTTCTTCATGTTGCACAACTGGGTAGCTCAGGCATGAAGAGCCGTTTCCCCCATCCTGGCTGTGAAGACGGGGCAGATGCTTGGGCTGAAAATAGTAGTTGCTTCAGGTTTTAATTGCAGCACGAGAAGAGACTCACGTACACGCACCCTGATGTGCAAATGTGGGCTCAGAGGCAGTTCCGGGCATCAGGGCTGAATTTGCAAGTGACTGTGAGGTGGAACACATCAGGTGGAACTCTGATGTGGGGCTGTCACTTCCTTCCTGCAAGTGGTGGGTGAAAGGAGCTGCCTGAGCCTCAATGATCAAGCGTCTCTGCACTTGTAGCCTGGGAGCAGCTTTAGGAGGAAGAGGAAAAAGCATGTATTGTTTTTTGTTTTCAGCACAACATTTAGTGTTTTCTCTTTAACTTCAAATGCTAATCTTTAAAGTGTTTAAATATCAGTTCAGTTCAGTTCAGTCTCTGGTCTGACTCTTTGCCACCCCATGGACTGCAGCACTCCAGGCTTCCCTGTCCATCACCAGCTCCCGGAGCTCACTCAAATTCATATCTCTCGAGTTAGTGATGCCATCCAACCATCTCATTCTCTGTCCTCCCCTTCCCCTGCCTTCACGCTTTCCCAGCATCAGGGTCTTTTCCAGTGAGCTAGTTCTTCACATCAGGTAGCCAAAGTATTGGAGTTTCAGCTTCAGCATCAGTCCTTCCAATGAATGTTCAGGACTGACTTCCTTTAGGATGGACTGGTTTGATCTTGCAGTCCCAGGGACTCTTAAGAGTCTTCTCCAACATCACAGTTCAAGAGCATCAGTTCTTTGGTGTTCAACTTTCTTTATGGTCCAACTCTCACATCCACACATGACTACTGGAAAAACCATAGCCTTGACTAGACAGACCTTTGTTGGCAAAGTAATGTCTCTGATTTTGATTTTTTATTTTTTTTAATTTTTATTAGTTGGAGGCTAATTACTTTACAATATTGTAGTGGTTTTTGTCATACATTGACATGAATCAGCCATGGATATACATGTATTCCCCATCCCGATCCCCTCTCCCACCTCCCTCTCCACACGATCCCTCTGGGTCTTCCCAGTGCACCAGGTCCGAGCACTTGTCTCTGTCTCTGATTTTTAATATGATGTCTAGTTTGGTCATAGCTTTTCTTCCAAGGAGCAAGTGTCTTTCAATTTCTGCAGTCATCATCTGCAGTGATTTTGGAGTCTAAGAAAATAAAGTCTCTCACTGTTTCCATTGTTTGCCCAGAAGTAGATGTTTCTCTGGAACTCTTGTGCTTTCTCTATGACCCAGCGGTGTTGGAAATTTGATCTCTGGTTCCTCTGCCTTTTCTAAATCCAGCTTGAACATCTGGAAGTTCTCAGTTCACATACTGTGAAGCCTCGCTTGGCATTATAGAAAAAGAAAAAGCTGAAAGCAATCCCTTAACTGGACTGGTGATGTTGGCATAGAAAGGTATGGGGTCTTCTCTCTGCCCATGGTGCCCATGGGCCCTTGCTCCTAGTTTTCCTCTCATTTCTCAGCTGCTGTTTCCCAGGGCCCTGTCCTCTGCTCAGCCTGGGTACTCACCAGTAGCTCTTAAAACCAAGGACAACATATCTTCAGATACCCAAGCTATGTATAGAGTGTTCTGGACAACATCTATAGTCTCTTCTTTCTCTTCCTTCCTTCTTATTTTCTTTCCTTGAGAAAATATACTCTACTAGAAAGGTCACTGTGCAATGCTCTTAGATTGTTGTTGATCTATTTTCCTTTGTTCCCATCATGTCTCTCAACCAGGAGGCTTAGCGAACCAGTAGAAAGTGCTCAGGCCTTGGAGAGAGATGGTCTTGGCTTTGAATCCCAGTCCTGCTATTTGCAGCTATAGAACCTTGGATAATGTTCCTTGGATAATTCTCCGGTCTCTACAAACTGAGAATAATACCTAGTAATACTTTGTAGGGCTTCTGTGAGCATTCAGTAGAACAGTCTATTCAAAGCCCCAGGAAGCTGTTAGCGCCCAGTGAACAGTGATTGTGTTCACTAAGTGATCATGCAGCATTTCTGAGAGTCCTGACAAAAAGCAGACGCTTTGGAGGTGCAGGGGAACGACTCGCCCAAGCACAGCACACGCTAGCAGCACATGGCGCCCCGCCGATTTAACCTTGGGTCACTAGCAAAGTGTCTTCACAGCAAGGTACATGGAGGAGGGAGCTGGGATGTGGCAGGACATTTATTTCTTAGGCCAACTGACATCTGCTCCCAGACAGAACTGGGATTGCTAGAGTCCAAAGTTGGAGTGGAAGTTGCTGAAACAATTTCTGCGTTTATCCCAAGTATTGTAAATAAAATAAACTTAACAAACTATTCCAAAGACCTGACAAGCTAATGGTCCGTTCTGTTTGCAGGGAGGATCAGCCATTTTACGTCTTCCCCCAAAGGTACAGAAAGAAGCAGATGGCATCTCATGGAAAAGAGACTGACCAGGAGCCTGGAGACCCAAACTTAAGCCTTAGCAGGTGACCTGGGGTAGGTCTTTTTTGTTCTCTGCACTTTAATTCCCTCCTCTAATCAGTAAGGATACTGATGAGATTGCTGGTTCTGCAGGTCACATCGCTCTCAATATTATAATAAAAATCAATTGAAATTGTGCAATTTAAGGCCTTTTTCAAAGTGCAAGTGTGAGGCATGGTTGTCTCACTTTGCAGGAAGGTCTTGAATCTATTCTAATAACCTTTGTTGGGTTAGCAGGTTTCTGGTGTTGATTTGTACAGCACATAAATCAAATAATAAATCCAAGCCTTGGAGGTGGGCACAGGACTGAGGTTTTTCAAGGGGCAGAAGATGAAAGGCTGTGAGGACTAACTACTTCATCAGGGATGGGCTCACGTTTCCTTTGGGCCTTGAGAACTGAAATCCTCCCCGCTTTTGTCCTCTTTTCCCTGAAACTTTGTCCTCTTCTCCCTCTGAATCCCATGTAAGCACAGGCTCTCCTCCTTTTTGCTACCTTTCCAGCCCTTCTTCTCTTTCTCCTGAACAAGGTGCTGTGGCAGACAGTTGGTGCTCACTATATGTCCTACGTATTGTCTTGTTGGGTTGAGGCCAAGGCAGTCTGAGCAGAAGTGACACAACAGCAGCAGGTGAAGTCGCTCAGTCGTGTCCGACTCTTTGCAACCCCATGGACTGTAGTCTGCCAGGCTCCTCTGTCTAAGGGATTTTCCAGGCAAGAACACTGGAGTGGGTTGCCATTTCCTTCTCCAGGGGATTTTCCCAACCCAGGGATCAAACCCAGGTCTTCTGCACTGCAGGCAGACTCTTTACTGTCTGAGCCACCAGGTGGCTTCCAGATTGACGTAATAAAGAGCCAGTGTCTGATGGAAGGAATGTAAATTGGTGTACCTACTCAGGAAAACAGTTTGGAAATTCTTCAAAAAGTGAAAAATAGAACTCTCATATAATCCAGAAATCCTACTTCTGGGTATGTAGCTGAAGGAAACAAATCAGTATCTCAAAGAGATATCTGCCCTCCCTTGTTCATTGCAGCATTACTCATAACAACCAAGAGATGGAAATAACCCAAGTGCTTGTCAATAGATGAATAGATAAAGACACTGTCTTTATCTATATCTATAATTACACAAAAGCTAATTGTGTGAAGTGATAGATGTATTAATTAACCTGATTGTGGTAATCATTTCACAATTTGTGTGTGTGTGTGTGTGTGTGTATACATACACATACGTACATATCAGTTCAGTTCAGTTCAGTTCAGTCACTCAGTCATGTCTGACTCTTTGCAACCCCATGAACCGCAGCACACCAGGCTTCCCTGTCCATCACCAACTCCCAGAGTTTACTCAAACTCATGTCCATCGAGTCGGTGATGCCATCCAGCCATCTCATCCTCTGTCGTCCCCTTCTCCTCCTGCCCCCAATCCCTCCCAGCATCAGGGTCTTTTCCAATGAGTCAACTCTTCGCATAAGGTGGCCAAAGTATTGGAGTTTCAGCTTCAGCATCAGTCCTTCCAATGAACACCCAGGACTGATCTCCTTTAGGATGGACTGGTTGGATCTCCTTGCAGTCCAAGGGACTCTCAAGAGTCTTTTCCAACACCACAGTTCAAAAGCACCAATTTTTCGGCGCTCAGCTTTCTTCACACTCCAACTCTCACATCCATACATGACCACTGGAGAAACCATAGCCTTGACTAGATGGACCTTTGTTGGAAAAGTAATGTCTCTGCTTTTTAATATGCTACCTAGGTTGGTCATAACTTTCCTTCCAAAGAGTAAGTGTCTTTTAATTTCATGGCTGCAATCACCATCTGCAGTGATATATCCATATATATATTAAAAATTGTCACATTATACACTTTAAATATATAGAATTTTATATGTCAATTTTAACTTAATAAAGCTGGAGGGGAAAAAAGAGCTAGTGTTTTACTTCCATTTCTCCCCTCATCTGCTCTGTGTCGAGGAAAGCATAACTACAGCTTCAAGATAGGGGTTTGACCTTCATTGGGCTTCATGTAACTAAGAAATCACATGTTTATTCTATTGACCACTGGGATGTGGGAGTTTAGTCTGGATGGCAGCATGGATGGCAGCCTATCCTAATCAGTACAGTGGATGTGCTCACTGCTTTGCTCCTTCACTACTTACCTGCCCCTCGATTCTGTGTAATCCTGTGTCCACTCACTGCTCAGGGGAACAGCCATTCTCAAGATTTACCAATGACCTCATCCATAATTACTAATCACCTACATACTGCTGAATTGCCTCATGTGCTTGAAACCATTCTTTCTCACTTAAATCTTTGCATTATTGTTTTAGTTTTGTTTATTTTTTGCTGTGCTTGGGCTTTCTCTAGTTGCAGTGAGCAGGGGATTCTGTCTAGCTGCAGTGCATGGACTTCTCATTGTGGTGGCTTCTCTTATTGTGGAGCATGGGCTGTAGGGTGCATGGACTTTAGTAGTTGTGGTGCAGGGGCTTAGTTGCTCTGTGACTTGTGTGATCTTCCTGGACGAGGGATTGAACTTGTGTCCTCTGTGTTGGCAGGCAGACTTTCAGCCACTGGACTACGAGGGAAGTCCATTTTGCATCATTATTTTAAATGAAAAAAGTAATACATTCTTATTTTAGGAAATCTCCCCTTACCTTCCAGTTTCCTATTTTCTATTCTGGCTGCTTTGTCTCTTATTCTTCTAAAGGCAAATGTCCGCCGCTCCTCCCGCATCTGCCTCTGGCCCACTTCTCCTTGCCTCACCCCTCCTATCGTCTCCCATCCCCACATCTCCCTCATGCCCTTGATATTCTCATACATGCTCTAGCTATTTGTGTGAGACTGCATTCCTCAATGTCAACTCCAGGCCAATGTTTCCAGCCTCTCTTGACGCCTGCCTGGGGCTTCAGCCAACTTTAGCAGATGAAACTGTCCAGAACTGGACTTATTATTGACCTGACTCCCCTTCCTTCCATGCCACCTCTTTCTACCCAATTTCACCCATGCTTGACCCCTGGACTTTGCTTTTGACCCTTGTCTCTTCTCTTTTCCGCCATTCCCTTATGTAATCAACTATTGGGTGCTGGTCCCTCCTTTATTCCCACTACTCTTACACTACTGGTATGCATGTAATTGCATTGAGTTGGGGGCTAGAAAGACACACAGTGGACTGTTGACCATGGTTAGTTCTGGGAAGGAAATCCATGGGAGGGAGGGTGAATCATGGGGGTTTCATACTTGAAAATGTTTTATTATTTACTTTTAACATATTTTCTATGACAATGGATTCATGTATTAGCTACATAATACCAAAAAAAAAAAAGTCTTTAAAAATTAGAAATGGGCTCCCTGTTAGGTAGTCAAGCTTTCATAACTGGAAGTGTTTGAACCAAAGTTGAGTGATTTGACATTAGGGATACTGTAAGGGATTCTTATATTGAATGATAAACTAGAAGTTCCCTTCTGGATCAGTTAGGATTAGATTCAGCTGTGAATCATGGCAATCCCAAAAAACACAGACTTGGGACAACATGGAAGTTTATTTCTCTCTGAAGTAAAAGTGACCAGTACCGGGTGTGAGAGTGTGTCATGATACTCAGAGATTTTTTTCAATCTTGTTTCTACACTTTACTTAGCACTTGGCTTCCACCTCATGGCCTAATAAAGCCACTCAAGCTTTCAGTGCAGTCCAGTGTCCAGTGTTAGTTGCTCATTCATGTCCGATTTGTCCTGTAGCCTGCCAGGCTCCTCCATCCATAGGATTTTCCAGGCAAGAATACTGGGGTGGGTTGCCATTTCCTTCTCCAGGGAGTCTTCCCAATGCCGGGGTTGAACCCAGGTCTCCTGCATTGCAGAGAGACTCTTTACCACCTGAGTCACCAGGGCCATCACATTTGTACTCCAGTTAGTAGGAACCGACAAATTAGAGCATGCCTGTTTCCTTTAAGGGTACTTCCTGGATGTTGTTTGTTCTGTTTATACACCATTGGCCAGAATGTGGTCGCACAGGAACACTGAGCTTTGGGGAGCCTAAAATAATAATAATGAAACGCAGGGTATAACCCTGCGGCCTGTGCCTGGCTGAAAACTGGGAATTCTGTTACTAAAGAAAAAGAGGAGAATGAATATTGGAGGACAAGAGCATTCCCTGCTGATTGTTAATTCAAAGTTTTAAAAATTAATAATAGCTGCTATTGACTGAGTCATCACCATTACTAAATACTGGGCTAAGGCCTTGCTGTGTGTTATCCCTTAATAATGCCCACATGCTGAGGAGTTAGCGTCAGTGCTGTTGCTATTACGTTGAACCTTCATGAGGTTAACCTTTACTTTCTATGCCACCAATTCTCTATTCCAAGCCCATGAGGCTCTGTCTGATTGTGCAGCCAGTTCCCCAGCCTGGGCTCCAGCTGCAAAGGGTGACGTAGACGCCAGTATCCAGCTTATCTGTACCCTGTGATGGGAAGTTGTCTTCATACTCACCCAAAACTCACGGGGTGGGAATTCTCCAGACGTGGAAAGAGATTTCAGTGTTGACTCAACAGCACTTCACTATTCTATTTCCTTATTGAGCACGTTAATTTATTTATTTAAATTTATTTAAATTTTATTTTTGAGTAAGTTGAATTTTAATTGGGTTATTTTCAAAAGTTTTGAAGCATTTGGTCCTTTTTTTCTCTCTTTGGTCCTTTTTCCCATTCAAAGCAGTAGCACAGTAATACCTGGCCTGTTATAACAGGGTTGTGGTAGGTAGAATAATGGCTTCTCAAAGATGTCCACATCCTAATCTATGGAATCAGAGAATTACTTTACATGGCCAAAGGGATTTTTTAGGTGTGATTAAATTAACTGTCTTGAGATGGGAGAGTGTCCTGGATTATCCAGGTGAGCCTGATGTATCACAAAGGTTCTTAGAAGGGAAGGAGGGAGTAGGTAAGTGGGAATCAGAGATGTGATGTGAGATGTAATGTGATGACAAAAGTAGAGGTTGGAGTGTTGCTGTTGCTGGCTGGGGGCCATGAGC